TAGGGGCATTCGTACCATCTTTGGCTTGTTTTGCCTAGACAAGAAACATAGTCATGAAATTGTATCTGTAATTTAAAGGAAAAATTAAGGCAACAATATGTAAAATTGTAAATAAATATATGCAAGGAAGATATGAAATTCCTTAATGGAAATAGTCAGAGATTACCTTCAACTCTGCCTGCTTTGCTTTCTCCAAAGCTTTTTGCTTCTTCAACTCCTTTTCTCTAGCCTATAAGACGTTACACATAAACCTTCATAGAGTCAATGTACAGATGCCATATACGATATGTAATCATTTACTACTGGATACTAAGGCAATATGAACAACTAAGGACATTGACATTTGACATGAAACTTAAAACTTGAAACTAAGCTTATGCATCAAGCGTTCCAATTATAAGTCCATGGCAACTTCACAGGCCAATACTATTAGAAAAAGCTAAAATTCTTTCCTCCTACTTTCCTAATTCAATATGAAATGGTTGTATCTATATATACATCCCAACGTTCATTTCTCATTTTGGTCCAAATAGACAAAGCCATTTCAGCATGTCAGAGGTATAGCTCTATGGGACAATTGCCCGCCATAGCCAACAGAATCGCCATTCTGTATTTTTTTTTAAAGCATTCTCGTAGTTGGATTACGATTACGCGTGCGCATACGCTAATGTTCGAAAATCCAAACCTACCAAAAACGGACCTCATTCGGATCAAGTCCTATAAAGACTACGCATCTGCATTGATTCTAACCGGGAAATGACTGTTTTGGATAATAAGAAGAAAGAAGTCAAACCTTCTCTTCCTTCTTCTTCTTCCGCTCGAGGTCCTCCTCAGTCTCGATCTTCTTCTCCGGTTCCGACTGCGAATTCATAAGCAAAGCGAAAACAAAATCAAATGAAATATCGTTTCGGGAAAAAAAACAACGAGAAGAATCGCAAGAATCCGACAACAATTACGACGGCAAACAGTCGAACATTTCTTCTTGTACCATGATTACAGTGGAGTGAAACGAACGCGACAATAGATTTGTTAGAGGTGTAGATGCGAAGCTGGCTTGGCGACGAAATGTAGAAGGCGATAGAAGTAACGGCTTGGCCCTCCTGAGGAAGAACAGTGACATAGACAAAGCAAGCACCTAGGGTTGCTTGCGATGCCTCTCTCTTTCCTTTTTTTTTTTACGTATTAAAAAAATTAAAAAAAAAAACAGAGAAATCCGTTGAGAATAGATTTATGTTTTCGGGTCGTGTGCTAGTTTATTTTCCATTAAGCCCAATGGGCTATCTATGGCCTTACACATTAATTTCCATATAATTTGACTTACCAAATTATTATTTCTTTTAAATCGTAAAATACCAAACTGTAAATTGTAATTTAAAACATGCACAAAAAAATTAAAAAAATGAATGAAATAATTACGATCCCAATCAAAGTCTTATGTTGAACGCGATCGTATAATATTATTATTTACTATGTACGTTACATGGATGCTTTGAAATTAATGAGTCTCACTTATATGCCATAGTAATCAAATTATTTAATAAATAACATAGATATCAAACAATATACTTCATATAAAACTCATGTCTAACGTCCATGGAGACTCTTTTTTCTGTAACCTCAATCAATTGGTTTGAATTCCCCAAGAGTAGCAAACATGTGATAAATACTCCTGGAGATTGGGTGTGGGGGAAAAATACACTACCAAAAGTATGGGGATTAATTTGCAATTAACGTAAAATTAAGGGGTCGTAGTGGAGTACAGAGAAAATCTAGGGTGCAAATGTGCACGGGCCCGAAGAATATGGACCCAAGTGGTCGGCAGACAAATCTTCAACTCAGGCCCAACTAACCTCAATCAATCATCGCCGTCTGATCAGTTATATCATTACCAATTTCCCACCGTTTGATGATCATCCGTACAAAACGCAGAAAATGACGTATAATTAAATTTGATGCAGTATCTTCACATTATCACATAGATAATGATTTAAATTTTTTTGTCACTAATTCTTTCTTTTGTACGTAAGTCGTAAACATATCATATTTTATTGTCCCCTTCAATCATTACATTGTTCAATAAAAGTTGTAAAACAATTTTTAAAATCATAATTATTAAATATAAGGTACAATAGCATTATAATTTAATAAAATAAGGGGTGAAGAAATTATCATACCCCAAGTGTGTGTGTATATATGTGTGTGTGTGTGTGTGTGTGTGTAAAGAGGCCTCGGGAGTGGACCATTCAAAACCCGGTGAAAAAAAAGGAGGGTCCATCCCACCACAAATGATAGCGGCGCAATCTTTAATCTTTTTCTACACCAGCATGCCTACATCCAGGCCCACTATTTAAAAAATATAAAATATTAAATTAGTTTTAATATAGAGATACAATTAATTAAAAATATTTTTATTGAATTTATATAAAATAATTAAAAATAATGATATTGAAGCTTAGGCAGTAATATAATATATCATTGAGTTTGATAGTGAATTATCCAATCTAATTCTTAAATTATCATATATTTCAGGGAATAAAATTGATATCTTTTCTATGATAATTATTTAAAATCATTCTCGAAATCATGTTTTGCCCCTTTTTATTGTCATGAAGAGATTATGTTAATATGTGAAAACTCATGCATATAACTAGAGTTCGGTAATTTAAAAAATGGATTTATGGTTAAAAAAATGAAAACCTAATATGGAAAACTATCTAACAAAATATTAGGTTCCTATATTGTTGTCCATCTTATTTCTAGTGGTCTAACAAATACAACATTTAATTTTAATATTTATTTCAATATTGAATCTATTTAAATTTCGTACTAATATTAACTCTGGCTTAAAATTTTATTTTATATTTGAATATATAATGAAATATCAATTTACACTTTTATACTTACATTAGTTTAATATAATATGATAATCAAACTTAATATTTAATTACAAATAAAGTTATATTTTAATTGGATATTGTAACGTATTCTTAAAAACAATTCAATTATTAATATTAAAATTGACATTTTAAAAAACAATATATAAATAAAGTGGAAAATAATGGAAGAAGGTAATCGTGACAAGATGTGACATGACCCCACGCCACAATGGAGAAGAAATGTAGGAAAAAGCATCCAAAAAGAAGAAACGGTTGTTCACCAAATCAGAAGCAGATTCCAAATAAAATAAATCCGTATTTAAATTAAATAAAAAAAGCTGCCATTTTGAAATTTTCCCTACGCATGACTTTTTTAAAATAATGTATTTGTAAATATGAACACTATGTTGTACTTGGTATATAAAGTATCTCTCCAATAATCCATTCTCATTTAAACACATTGTGTAATTTTGGAGACATAATATTATATATTCTGCTTTGTTATGATAAACTCTTTACATGTATTCAAAAGCAGTACCATATCCTATGTTACAGAAAACAATATTACATCATATTATAAATATGAATTTATCATCGACGACAATAAATTATATTAAATTGTCGCCTAGATATAACATGAGTGAAGACAGTGCTTTAAAATTGTTGTTATGTAGACATTTTGTATAGTTTTTCAAGTAATATCTTCCTTTAGTATATTATCGACATATTTGATCAAATAGGAATACGTGTTTCTGATGATTTTTTTTTACAAACTTTTATTATAATAAATGAATTTAATATATAATATTGTATATATATTTATAATTCGGATAAAATCAATAAATAAATAAATAAATATAACAAAACTATGTGAATCCTCACTATACGTATCGGTATCATTTCATGATTGATTCACATAGAATCGCCTCTCCAATTGTATCTCATACGGTAAGTTTTGTTTACTGCTCCACAATTCAGATGACCGAGTTAAACAGCAATAATTTATTTATTTTTACCGTAACCAAATAACCTTTTTTTAACATAATAATCATACCTTGTTAAAGTTTCGCAGCACAACTTTTTTTTTTAACTTTTTTTTATTTTGTCTTTATCTGTCAATCTTTTCCATCAATAACATGCAGGAAGACAGACAGCATGATATGATACCATAACCTTTAGCCATTATTTAGTCCCCCATTTACCGAACCCCACACAATTTCAAACCTTTGTCCCGTTTTTCCACATGAATGACACTCTTTGTTTTTACATAAACTTACATATACATATATACACACACATATATATATATATATGGTGTTAGATACAAACACACATACTCACCTCATTCTTTGTCGGGAAATAATATCATCACTAAGTGCTTCGGTGTTTGACCCATCAATAAAAGGTGTCGAGATGTTATCCATCGTAGGTACGGGTGCTTGAAACTATATATATATATATATATATGATAGTAGAACTATGTGATCACGTAATCATATAATATAGTGCATTGGTATCAATTAAACGTTTTTACCATGTATTAACCCCACACGGTATAAAGTTAATGGTATTGATTTTTCCTGCCGTATACAAGTAAATTTGATCACAGATGAATTCCGTCAAAGAAAGGAATTTGTTCTTATTATTTGTGTCGACATTATGAAATCTGATTATTGATCAGCCCAATATTTACACTGAATTAGGTTCTTCTGTAATTTTATTTTTTGGAACTTTTTTTTTTACATATTTTCGGACGGAAGTAAAACAAAAAAGTTGCGAATACAATAAACTTAATAGACCATCCATATTATCAATTGTCTCTTAGGGGTGGAAATATAATATATGAATGCTTTAGTTTATTATTAATTGTGTAGCAAATTTCCATATCCCGAGGAACACACACTATCCAACCATTGCCCTTTCCCTTTGTATTTTTTTTTTCTTTTTCTTTTTCCGTTGACTGAATTGAGTACTAATCCTTCTTCACCTTCGAAAATTCTCCGTTTCCTTTTATCTTTTTTTTTTTAAAATAAGAAAAACATATGTTCTATTATTTTTTTATTCGTTTTTTTTTTACTTTTTAGACACAACCCACCAAAATAAATAGGCAGCCATAATCCCAACCCGAAATAAAACAAACAACGCCGAAAACATGAGTCATGAGCTTCTCCACTCATCTCTCCCAACTTGGGATCTCCACAACCTCGGATCAGTCTTCGATCGAGACTCCCCTATAGGTATATATATACACACACATCCATACGTACGCACTCACCTGTATAAATATACGTAGAGTACGTACACTCACGCAAAACCGTCACGTAGAAGTCGAACTCGTTTCATGCAGTGGAAACTTTTGTTACTTCACGGGGTATATTATATCTGCTGGGCAGCCGTTTATTTATACGTAGCATACAAAACATATACGTATAATGTAATTTCTCTGATGTTAACGCGTATGAATATGTGTATCTCTGTACTAATGCGTGCCCTGTGTATGTCGATATTGTTTGTGTAGGGTTCGTGTGTACGTATACGGATTATTTTAGTCTGTCTTCTTATTTCTGTATATGCGTGTGTGTGTGTGTGTATCAATTGTTCCATGCAAACGTAAATTTGACAAGAAAGTACTTCAGATACCTGTGAAATAGTGGGAGAATCGCCGGAGAAACTTTTTGGGTCGCCGGAGATTGAATTCTCCGGCGTATCCACCGGCTACTTGGAAGACGCACTGATCGAATTCAGCGAGCGAAGCAAACGGAGACGTCTCTCTTTGTACTTCGACGACCAAGCCAAAGTGTTCGACGATGTCTCACAGGTTTTTTTTTTATAATCTCTATAATTATTCATCTTTTTTTCGAAATGATTTTTATACCATCATTTCCTGAATGATTAATTGATTCGATAATTAAATTGGTCCCGGTCGATTATGGTAATTGCAGAACTACTGGGACCTGCCCGGGCATTATAGTTGCATGAGCAGCCAGTTGGCTTCTCCTCACGGCCGTACAGGTGTGAGGCCTGCTTTATTATATTACGGTGGAGAATACTCCACGTCCGCATTAATCGATATTTATACTTTTTATTTTTAAAATTATATTTTTCTGTTTTCTTAATTATGAGGAAATTATATTGAATCTCCATGTAATTTTCATATTTCGTAGTTCGTACACATATAGATGAGTATAAGAGAGGAATCGGCTACGAATCTCCGAACTCAACTTCTTCTTCGGACAAATCTATTCAAGACATATCCCCGGTTTGTCCAAAAGTTTCTCCGGAACCAACATGCTCGTACTCCGGTATAAATTGTTTTTGCTTCATTTATAATTGTAACCATTTGTAACAAGGGTATTGTCGGGGAACCCCAGATCAGGTGGTTGGGAGCATAGGGTAAAACCCATGAGGTGGGGGGTTTGATTCCCCATCGTCTCACTTCCTCTGATCTGCTCGTCTGCCAGCCTCCGGGCTGATTTACCACCCACGCGTGTGTTGCAGACTCATACGCGTGAGTTTGGGGTTTATCCGGTCAGCGCGCCCGAAGGATAGCATCCGGGGTTCTCCAATGCATAAAAAAAAACAAGTGTATTGTCGTATTTTTTATATAAATAATACGATAGAATTTTTAGGTTAAATTACTATACGTAGTTATAATAACAATAATATCATTATTGCGAGTACGGTTCGTTACGAAGTCTATAGTATTTAAACGTTACATTACGTTTGTCTGCTAAGGGAATGGCGAGTCGAAGAAGAAACGACGAGTGGTTACGAGAGTAGTGTATCCGTTTGCATTGGTGAAGCCAGGAGGTCGGGAAGAGGACGTGACCCTAAACGACATAAACGAGAGGATTCTGATGCGACCGACTCGGCCGGTTCGTCATCCGGTCGGAGATTTCGCATGTCGGCCGTGCTTGTCGGCTCGAAGGCTCGGTCCCTCGGGAAAAGCCGTCGTGGCTCTCACGAGGATTCAAACACAGGGGAGGGGGACAATTACAATTATCAGGACAAAGGGGTGAAATCTGTAATATTGAACATTTTCTGGGGGTGTTTCGGAAATCATGGGGTTAGAGCCACTCAATCGTTGGCTCTTTTGTTTTACGGATTTTAACGTTTTTTAGATACTTCGTGTAAAAAGTTAGTCGGGAGTAATGTATAATGTGGCATCAGAAAGATTCTGAGCATCGGTAGTCTCAGAACGCGGCATCGCCAATAATCGAACAAATCAAGAAGAAAATCAAAGAGAAAACGAGAATCGATCAAAGAAAAACTTCATTGGAGGCTCTGATACCATTTTGTGGAGAGAGATTTGAGCTGAATCGGAAGGGGATTAATTTGCAATTAACGTAAAATTAAGGGGTCGTAGTGGAGTACAGAGAAAATCTAGGGTGCAAATGTGCACGGGCCCGAAGAATATGGACCCAAGTGGTCGGCAGACAAATCTTCAACTCAGGCCCAACTAACCTCAATCAATCATCGCCGTCTGATCAGTTATATCATTACCAATTTCCCACCGTTTGATGATCATCCGTACAAAACGCAGAAAATGACGTATAATTAAATTTGATGCAGTATCTTCACATTATCACATAGATAATGATTTAAATTTTTTTGTCACTAATTCTTTCTTTTGTACGTAAGTCGTAAACATATCATATTTTATTGTCCCCTTCAATCATTACATTGTTCAATAAAAGTTGTAAAACAATTTTTAAAATCATAATTATTAAATATAAGGTACAATAGCATTATAATTTAATAAAATAAGGGGTGAAGAAATTATCATACCCCAAGTGTGTGTGTATATATGTGTGTGTGTGTGTGTGTGTGTGTAAAGAGGCCTCGGGAGTGGACCATTCAAAACCCGGTGAAAAAAAAGGAGGGTCCATCCCACCACAAATGTCTTATACAACCGAGAAGTATAAACCGGAAATAGAGTAAACCGAAAATAGAGTAAACCGAAATAAAAATGCTAAACAGATAAAACTATCTCTAATAAAAGTTAGTCGGGAGTAATGTATAATGTGCATTTTTCATATTTACGAGTATGATTTATTTTTTTAAAAATATCGGTTTTATTTATTTTCCATTTTGTTTTTTGCATGCTTGAGCTTTTAAAACCTTTTCCTTTTCCCCTTGCGTACCGTTGCTTTTTTTTTTTTAATAAGAGAATATTCATAGGTAAAAAAAATGAAGCGTGAAGATGAATATAGAAACATAAAGAAAAGTAAAAGTAAAAAACGGAATATTTAAAAGGTAAAAAAAATAACAAAAACAAAAGGGAATGCCATATTGTTTTCCACGTCAAAATAATAGGCTAAACGTTTTAATAAACCAATAACTAATTTTAACCAAAAGATTTGAACAAATGATCTTATATTATTTGTAGTTATACACTGAAACGCAAGGAGGATAAAAATAGGAATATTATAATATACATATAACATACTATACGTTTAAGCTTAAACGTATGATCTATGATCGTTTGACAAATTATGTCATACCATTACCCAAACTTGATTAACTTAACCGGTAAAATTAGGATGTAAAGTAGTTATCATGTTACGGGTTCGAATTTCATATGTAGAAAAGAGTGAATATTTCAAATCATATTATTGATCGCGTAACATCGTGTTAATTCCAGATTTAGTTGGAGTTGATCGCGTAAAATTTTCGTTTATAATCGTTTTAGTTTTGAGTTAGTTCCTTCAAAATTTGCAATATTTTCAAATCATTCCTAATGATATGTTTTAAGTAAGTACATATCATTAGGAATATGTCATAATGATATGACATATTCGGTTATAAAAAGGATATGTCATACTATTCAACCATATATACTCTAATTGACCGATTATCACTAATCACGACGACACGAATCATTATTATAATTGTCGTCGTCCTCGTTTTGAAAGCCGTTGGGATCTTCATTTCTTGTCCGTAAGTTGAAATCTGGAGTTGATTAGTAATTTAGTATGCAAGTTGGCGAGGCCAATGTTATGCGACCGAAACGATAGATCACCGATCGAAACCGACGGTGTAGATTAGATCCAAGTTCCCTAGTGACGTCATGCTTATGTTTGGTCGTCTCAGTCAGCATTAGCTGTACGGCGTAGCATGTGCACACAAGACGGCATTAACTTTCTTTGTGGTGGGGATTGACATGGATTTCATAGAAAATGGTCACATATCAAATACTATTTTACTGTTTATTACAATTACAATTATTGTTATACTATTTTATATTTATTTCGAATTCATATGTTTATTATTTATATTTGTTTCTGCACTAAAACACTAGGGCGTATTTTAAATAGCATCGTACTTTTTCAATGTAAAAAAAGAGAAGATTGAAAAAAAAAAGGAAGACCTAGAAGTATGAGAAAATAAAGATGAATCTTCCTATGATTTTGTGTGTTTTTGTGTTATTGATTACCGTGATCTTAATGTCAACTATATTTTATTCGATATTTGAAATTTTACAATAAATTATCTAATATTGTAATGGTGTTGATATATGCATACCACCGAATACATGACATTATGTGATAATCCCGTTTGACTTTTACACACCACTGTCTTATATCTATTTTTTTAAAAAAAGAAATATTAGATACGTAAGTTTTTTTTTTGGAAAATAGAAAAGATACGCAAAAAAAGACCCACATAAAATTAAAGTACATAAAGAGGTTTGAAAACTCATACAAACAACGAAATTAGTAATCCACATGTAATAAAATATTATCTGTTTTTGTTTAACTAAAAAAAATATTATTTTTACATATTCGTCTTCATTGGAATCGACCAATCCACTACGCTAAGGTCATCATTGGGATGAATGGGCTTTAGTTGATACAGCAAAAGCCCATTATAAAAGGCCCAATATTATTTTTTTGTAGGCCCAATGAAAATATAGGCTTTTGAAGTTCGATCCCAATTAGGAAGTATCCGTACAAAGTTATTTAAAAACTGAACTAAATTAATTATAACGGAAGTGAATCGAACGGATTAAAACTAAAATAATCATTTGATTGGATATGAATTCTCAAAAATCAAATTAATTAAAATCAATTAATTAGAAACTATCGTATTGGTGTGAATAAACGAGCCCGACCCATTGTATATGTAAATAGAAAAATTCATGTAGTTTGAAACTATCGTATACAATTAAATGTTATAAAATTTGGTCTATTCACTATTATAGTTGAACCGAAACGAACCGAATTTATATTTGGTTTCAATAATATTGGTTTGATCTGACCATATTGAGCATAAGAAAATTTACCATATATAACCAATTAGATTTAGCTTTTTTAAACACAAAAAATCCCATAAAATTGTATTTTTTTTTAAAAAAGAAATATATTGGTCTAATTATAAATAAATACAAATATGAAAATAATTCCCGAAATTGGCCAATTCCACTACGTGTCCGCGCGAATGGGTTTCAACCGAAATCGAGCGATTTCATATCGGGCCTTTTCCATCAAGCCCGTATTTCATTTTGGGCTAATTTCGATTACCAAGCCCATTTTCCATCGACCTTTTCTTTATGGCTTTTTTTGTTGTTCTGCTTCGATATTTTTAATTTTTTTATTAGTTTCATTAATTTGCATAATTAATTGCTTAAAGGTGTTGCATGGTTTGTATGGAATTGTCTTAATAGATATTAGGTGCACCAAAAAATCATGTTAGTAAAATTAAAATAATTAATAAACGATTTGAAAAGAAATCCGAGAGAGAGAAAAAAAGGTCCCGTCGTATATAAAGGTGAAATCCATCGTCGTGTTTTTTGATCATTTCCTTTTCTCTCACATTAAAAAAAACAGTCAGATCTCACGATTTCCCCCAATCTTCTCCTAGGAGGAACGGGAGAAAGACGCCATGGCTACACCGACGGTGCTGCTTCTCTTCATCGGAGCTCTTCTCCTCTCCGGCGTTGACCATGTTAGATCCGACGCTTCCGACCACAGGTACAAGGAAGGCGACTCCGTTCCTCTATACGCCAACAAGGTTGGACCGTTTCACAATCCGAGGTAACAATATCTATCCTCTCCTTATCTCCCTCGTTTTTTTTTTCTACTTTTGGATCTGGACGCAGAACCGAGATTTTCTCGGCTTCCAAACGGAGGATTGAGAAGTTGATCGTCGAGTATACATGAGACTGTTGTAACTTGTAAGCCGCGATTAGAACAAATCGGCTGGTAGTGGGATCTCTTAATGCGGGAATAGTGTCAAATGCGTAATGCAATTCCACGGAATTAGAAGAAGAACTGGCTTTTTGGGGTGTTGTCGGTTGTGGTGACGGGACGGATCTTTGTTCGCGCGCTTCCAGTTTAGGTTTTGGTATCGTGATTACTGATTTGCGTTTCTTCCGATGGTGATTGCAGTGAAACATATCGATATTTTGATCTGCCCTTCTGCGTTCCAGGTGTGGATACATCTTACAAGTGAAATTTGTTTATTGGTATTTATCCAGCATTACGTTGATTCCTAGGCAGCATGGTGTATACAGTTTGACAAATTAAGACATTTCTACAAGTGAGAAATAAACGTTCAAGGGAAAAGGAAACATTAAACCCTTTTTAAAGTTATGAATTCCAACTCGTCATTCAGAATAGGACAAAATGAGTCTAGAATATAAAATCTGGAAAGCTGGCTACATGATTCGTTTATTCAAGTACAATGTTTTAGATCATTGACTGTGGGATTCATATCATTTTCTGATCTGATTGACTTGATTCACAGATGGTGTGAAAGAGAAAAAGGAAGCTCTTGGTGAGGTTCTGAATGGGGATCGACTTGTGAGTGCTCCATACAAGCTCAACTTTGGAGAGGAGAAAGACTCTGAGGTGTACTGCAGAAAGAAGCTTAGCAAAGATGATGTCAAACAGTTTAGGAGGGCTGTTGAAAAAGACTACTATTTCCAGATGTACTATGACGATTTGCCTATCTGGGGTTTCATTGGAAAGGTTGACAAGGAGGGCAAGGCTGATCCGAGCGAGTTCAAATACTTCCTGTACAAGCACATTCAATTTGAGATTCTCTACAACAAGGACCGTGTGATTGAAATCAGTGCCCGAATGGATCCTCACTCCCTGGTGGACCTTACTGAGGACAAGGAAGTTGATGCAGAGTTTATGTACACTGTGAAGTGGAAAGAAACCGAGACTCCATTTGAGAAAAGAATGGAGAAGTACTCCATGTCTTCATCTCTTCCACATCACTTGGAAATTCATTGGTTCTCCATTATAAACTCATGTGTCACTGTCCTGCTTCTGACTGGTTTCCTCGCAACAATCTTGATGAGAGTCCTCAAGAATGATTTCATGAAGTAAGTTTGGGTACTGACTCTTCTCTTCACGATTGTTGAGGTGACCTTTCCTTATCCAACTTTTGTTTTCAAACCTTTAAGGTATGCCCAAGATGAGGAAGCTGTGGATGATCAAGAGGAATCCGGATGGAAGTACATTCACGGCGATGTGTTCCGTTTCCCGAAGCATAAATCTCTGTTTTCTGCATGTCTCGGTAGTGGTACCCAATTGTTCACTCTGTAAGTTCATTGTTGATGGTAGCATTTTACCATTCCAGTTAGACTTTTGCTCATCTCTGTATATCTTATTCTGAATACTAACTGAACTTTCCTCTGCCGTACCAGCACTGTCTTCATTTTCATGCTTGCTCTTGTTGGAGTGTTCTATCCATACAATCGTGGAGCACTCTTCACTGCTTTGGTCGTGATTTATGCTCTCACATCTGGAATCGCTGGATACACTGCTGCTTCTTTCTACGGTCAACTTGAAGGAAAGAACTGGGTATACATACAGTATAACTCTCCCCCGTAATGATTTCAACACAATTGGAGACAATAATCATTTCATTCTCACCTTCGTTTTTTACAGGTCAGGAACCTATTGCTGACTGGATGCCTCTTCTGCGGCCCTTTGTTCCTGACCTTCTGCTTCCTCAACACAGTCGCCATTGCCTACAGTGCTACAGCTGCATTACCCTTTGGTACCATCGTGGTGATTGTCCTGATATGGACACTAGTCACATCACCATTGCTCGTGCTGGGTGGAATTGCCGGCAAAAACAGCAAGACCGAGTTCCAAGCGCCATGCCGTACCACCAAGTACCCCAGGGAGATCCCTCTACTCCCATGGTACAGGAGTGCCATCCCTCAGATGGCGATGGCCGGTTTCCTCCCTTTCAGTGCCATCTACATCGAGCTCTACTACATATTTGCCAGTGTATGGGGCCACAGGATCTACACTATATACAGCATTCTGTTCATCGTCTTCATCATCCTTCTGATCGTTACTGCTTTTATAACCGTCGCCCTCACCTACTTCCAGCTCGCTGCTGAAGACCATGAATGGTGGTGGAGGTAAGTTTTCCCATATACACATATATATATATATATATATGTATAGTATTTGTATATGATTCCCTGACAAGGGTTATGGATAAATTTTGTGGCAGGTCATTCCTCTGCGGTGGATCAACGGGTCTGTTTATATACGCGTACTGCTTGTACTATTACTACGCGCGGTCAGACATGTCGGGATTCATGCAGACGTCGTTTTTCTTCGGGTACATGGCCTGCATCTGCTACGGCTTCTTCCTCATGCTCGGCACTGTTGGCTTCAGGGCCGCTCTCCTCTTCGTCCGCCACATCTACAGGTCCATCAAATGCGAGTAATGTAAATGTGTTTTCTTCTTCTGCCTTTTCCTTTTCTTGTTCTTTTTCTTTTTTTGTTACGATTTTGTTAGGAGAGGAAAGAACAAAAAAAAAAGAAGGGTTTAGGGTAGAAGAAGAGAAACATCCTTTGAAACAGCATATCTTACGAGGAGGAACCGAAGCCAAGGCAAGTTCCGGTTTCCAAGCGTATCTTGTCTCCCAGGTTTTCTACGGAAGTGATTAAAATCTCTCTATCTGCAAATTAGACGTTTCTGTAATTAGGGGGGTCTCTCTCTCTCTCTCTGTTTTTGGTTAACTACTTGTGTATCATTTTTTTACGCAAAATACCCTGAACCATTTTTTCCTGTTTTTTTTTTTTGTATCTAATAAATGTCAAAACTGGCTTTACATTGCATTGCACGCTTAAACTCTAGCTTTATAATATTGCAAGGAGTGTGGAAGAAGAGGAAGCATACAAGTGGTTAGGCCGAAGTTAATATTTTTCTAAAATTATTTGAGGCCTATTCATTTATTTGGGTCATAGAAAACCCATCGTTCGTCAATTTTCAAAATCCCCAAATAAACTTTCTGGGCTCAGTCCAATCTTTTCGCATGATAATGATAACAATATAAGCCCAACAACGTGTATTGAAGACCAAGTATATCTTGATGGAAAAAAAAAACAGAACAATATATCAATATTTTGCAAACACAAAAAGAAAAAAAAAAAAGAGGGAAGAAGAATACATATATGTTCCTTGCATAGTTTTTAATATCTGTTGAATAATTCGTAGCTATAGCGAATCCTTTCGCAGTTTACCAAAAAATAAATACTTGGATATTGTATTAGCTAATATGTTATTACAAAATGTACAGCTTGGGAATGCATACTTTTTGATATACAAATTAAAAAATATATATATAAAGGATAGATAGATACAGAATTCACGTGTGAAAGGACACATCGCAGAGGGATAGGGTGGGTCCCAGCAGTTAGGGGTATTTTAGTAAAACACTGGCTGAGGAAATAAGGGATTTTGCTGGCGCGGGGTATATTTGTCTCTGCAGGCCACATGAATCATTAGATACTCTCTTCTTTTTTCTAAAAAAACATAAAAACTCATTTGACTTTCTGAAAACCCGGTTAAAAAATTTTGTCTCACTTTAATTTTTATTTACTTTTTCGTTTCTTTTTATTTTTAACTTTTACTTTTCCACCTCCTCAAAGCCAAAAAGCCTAAACGCCAAGCATTCCTTGCAGCAATACATATATTCATCACGTTCTCTTTCTTCTTCCACGTTCTCACTGTTACTACTACAAAGTGCTGGACGACAGAACCTAAAATTAAGACGGAGTCTGATAACAACGGTTGGTTTACACTCACATAAACCAGTAATTATAATAGAATTTTCTTTTTGATAATTCGAAAAGTTCTCAGAAACCTTTTATCTAATTACATTTTCCAGAAAATTAAAAAAATTCGGTTGAATACTCTTTTCTAAATAAAGACTCAGAATTTGGATTGAGAAAGAGTTTCCTTTTTTTATTAGTTGAGCCATTCAATATTAGGGTAAAAGTATATTTTGATTAAAATTTAAAGTATATTTCGATTAAAATCTTATACAATATTTGTGAATTTTTTTAATGCCCCTGCTTAATTATATATTATAAGTATAGAAATCAATTTTGTAACAGAATCTTATAATGAATATGATGCAATAGTGTCATTATTTATCCAAATATAATTTTAATTGCTAAAAAATTAATAATATATTTTATTTTAAGTTTAGGCGTTATTATCACAATGATACGCTTGTTTTCTTTCTTGTCTCCGACGATGCTTCCTACGGCCTTATCTCTTTCGTGTGCGATTATATACCATTTTGTACAGTGATTATACGTAAAATACTTATCATGTTAATATACCGTGCGTGTACAGTTATTTTATGAAATGAAATAAACATAATATCGCATTTATTATAATGCTTTTATCATAAAAAATATATGTGCTTTTAGGGTTACATATATTATTGTTCTCTTAAGGCCAAGATATATTATGTAATCACCCTTACTTAACTAATTAGAAAACCTCATGCATGACCGACACTAGCTCTAAAAAAGGAAACTAACAAACATATCTATATATATATAAACAGCAATCGTAAAAGAAGTTCATGTCTACCATTTTATTTTCTTACTTGTGAACAATGACAAACCTTATAAATTTTAACAATGGGTTCGAGTATTATAATTCTACTTCTAATTTCAGATCCCAGATATATAATTTTCGAATATTTCGCTTATATACACACACACACACGAGCATTATCAAACTCATGAAGCAACCCATGATGATGTGTTTTGCATATTGTCTGATATAAAAGAAACTACATATAGAGCTAAGAAAAGGGTTGAATGATTAGAGGAAAACAATGAAAAAGAGAGAGGGTTAAATGGAAAAGAACAAAATGTGACATGGGCATATATATATATATATATATGTTTATCCATATATATATGTATAACTATTAGTTTTACATACAAAGACAGAGAAAAAGGCCATTAATTAAATTGGTATCTTTTGTGGAAAAAGGAGTTTTCTTTTTGGAATCGGGAGAAGTGCCAAAACCAAATTCACCAAGCGTAATAAGAACAAAACTGAAAAAGACAAAGATGCCTCGGTTTTCAGTGCAAAGCACAGTTTGAACATTTTCTTACATGGAGGGGCCATCATTATTGAAATCAGACATACATTATCTTACACATATATATTTATGCAAATACAGACAAATGTTATCTGTTCCTCTCTCTGTTTCTGTTTAGACTTAGACGTATGTATATATTTATATATATATTATATAGCATATGATAAACACTTAATATGATTACTCTTAATCAAATTTAAGTGTGCCGAGTGGATAGACCAATGTCAAATATATAGATCTGTGTGTATTAACAAATGGGATACAATGAAGAATTATATCTATATATATCATATTAATATCGAATACACGAAATGTGTAAATTTATTCAGCGTCGTTTTTAAGGGTTAGTTAATTGTCCAATTTCAAAAAAAAAATTAAAAAATAGACATGACTTAGCCATTGCATGGATGACTCTACAAAAAAGAAATCATTGCATGGATGATTTATCAGAAATAATAAAAAATAAAGGGGCGGACATAATTGCCCCCAGGCAAAGGAGTGTCGACTCATACATCCCATCAAGGAAGTGAGGGTAACTTTGTCATGACGTAAAAGTTATACATATGGTTGTATCTTTGTGGGAAGTATCAGGCAATCCCATGTGGTCAGAGATTTTCATGCTCTCTCTGGAACACATTACGACACCCACTTCCCCATATTATAAATTAATTTCCAAAAATTTATAATTTTAACTCTTCGTCTCCTTGAAAATATTATGTATTTATAAATTATTTTTTAAAAAATAATTACAACCTTATTAATGAAATGCCATGAATGAAAACAATATGAACTGACAAGCGAAAGGAGAAGAAATACAATTATGGAAGCGGTTGAGAACAAAAATAACACAGATCGAAATCTGTAGATGGTAATTAACTAAAAATTAATAGAATGCATGGCAAAGTTTAATCGAGATTTTCAATTATCGAACAACGTATAAATCTCTCTTCTCTTTGTCTGCTCATCCTTCTATATATATAAAAAATTACACATCCAATTTGGAGGTTGTTTTGAATTTTAATCATGCATGATAATTCTTCTTCCTTTTTATGGTATTTTTAAATAACAAATTCAGTATAAATGAAAGATATGAAAAGAAAAAAAAAAGACAAAATAGTTTCTGAATTCCTGAAAATAATAAAGGGTGCAATTTTGTATAATGAAAAATAAAATAAAAAACAGATGATGCATTTAAAGGCCGAGGGGGGGGGGAAGAGAGAAGAAGCACATGATCTTTGTAAACGAGAGTAAAGAAAGATGGAACCTTTATCTGTTGCACGTCCTATGTTCTTCCCTTTTGATTGGACTGTGACTAAATCGTGTACGTGATGATCTCAACCTCAACCTTCTTTTTTTTATTAAAAAAAATCATAAAATTTAATACTAAATGATCCGTTTTTAAGATGGGGACATCATGAACATAATAACATTCGCATTACGTTGATGCCATATTGTCTTCGTACGTACATCCATCCATGTTATAACAGGATGATGTTTTCACATTAAGTGGACGTTTTTTTTAAAAAATTAATAAATATATCACATTCAGTTGTTTATCCTCTACGTACGCACGCCATCTCTGGGCGCATACAAGTACGTACAGTACACCATTACTCCATACAGTATTATTATCATCATCACCACATACACATTTCTGTAACCCATCAAAGCGATACGTTGCGTCATCACCGTATACTATACTAGTATGTTATACGTATATACATACACACACACACACACATGTAATAAATGTTTGCAGGAAAGTTTGGCCATTGGTAGAGAGAAAAAGCTAGTATCATCTTTCTATGGTCTCTCTACCTTTCTTTCTGTGACAATAACGCTGCAAATCTGCAAACCCCTCTGTTTGAAATGACGAAAATGATGAAAACGAGAGAGAGAGAGAGAGAGAGAGAGAGAGAGAGAGAGAGAGAGAGAGAGAGAGAGGTCGCTTTCAATGCAATTGAGTGCCCTTTATAAATGCAGGATAAAGAAGTGATATATATATTTCAGAGAAACCATGTTTTTCAGTGCCAAAGTCGGAACGGTGTTTGCAAGCAGGCATTTGTCACTCTCAATTACTTAAACCCCATTCATGCCTTCTTTGGGTCCTCCTCTCTCCTCCCGTTTTATTGCATCGAAATTGGTCCCAAAAACCATACCACTACTCACATCTCGACCGTCTTTCGGGTTTGATCGTATATTATATAGTATATATATGTGTATATATTGTGCTATACGCAAAAGATATTTTCATTTTTTTTTTGATATATTAATTTACTTCCCCTAACCTAACTTCTGCTTCATGTGTCATTCATTTATATGTGTACGCATGCATGTTCCTCCACGGATATCACTTTTGTCCCGCGTTGTCCTCACTGTTTTGAAAATAGTCGGTCCATATTCAATATCGAACCAGTACACGTACGTAACTAATCAGACCCCCTTTGTGTACATATATGCGCTTAAACATCTAAACATTATCTTATAGCTTGATATCGACTCTTTGTTTCGAGTTTCGTACAACTCATATACAAATGTGAGCGTACTATTTTATATTGCATTGTTTTTTTATAATTTATAATTTAATCCTATTATATCTTTTAAAACTCGAAAAAATTCAGATGAATATTTTTTTTTTTCAAATGGAGACTCGAATCTGAGTTGGAAAAAAAACTTTACCCCAATACGGAAATATACCATATATATTTGAAATATATTAGAGATGTTGAAACCTAGTTAGTCTTTTGAAGTTTAATTAAATCATTTCTTTTAACCAAAGATCCTGTGATTTTTTTTGGGCAAAAGATCCTACGATTATCATGAATCTGTTACACACGCACATATACACACACGCACATATACACACACACACATATACCTTGGTGTTAGTACATTTTTCAATCACCATGTGTTTATCATATAAATCTTAGTCGGCATAAAAAAATCATTAATTAATTAAGACATTATCAATGTAGTCTAAATTCCTTCGTACGTATGGACAAAAATATAATTAAGACATTATCATCGTTATGTCTTTTCATTTTTTTTGGATGTGGGAGAAAGAAATTGTAAATTAATTCTGATTTTTTTTTTGTTGATATTTTCATGATTATAAATCAACGCTTTTTGTCCGAATCCAACGAAAGATCAAAACGATGTTCGGAACACCTCGTTATAAGTGTAACGACCACGAACCGAAACAAAATAATAATGGTACATTTCCCATCAGTGGAAATTGACTCAACCTGAAAATATATTCAGTACACCTAATCTAACAATGCATGCTTTCGGTTATATTTATTTAAATTTTACCATATTGTTTGCTTGTACGACTATATGTGTACGTATAATGCGCCGCGCCCTCTGGTCTACAAAATCATATCCCAAAACCATAGGGATATGGCTATCAATATTATGTATATGCAAAAATAAATGCGTACGGAGAAATTATGATTGTGGACAGACAAAAAAAAACACTTGATTATGAAAAATGATATATATATATATATATACACACCAATGCCGTAACCCGTGTTTGGTTAGTTTAGCTGCTATTCAAATTTAATATATATACGTCAAGGTGATTAACCATTAATAACATGAAAAACGGCAGTATTAATAATATATAACTTGATTTGACTTTCAAGGCTTGTGCAATTTATGACTAAACGTACTATAAACATGAAAAAGCTTGTGTTTGAGTTAGAATGTTAGTTATGTCATCAATGCATAGGTAGCTAACGATGCCTTTTTTATTTTCTTTTATATTTTTTATTAATAAATTTCAAACCAAAGCAGATAGATGATTTCTTGAAAATAAAAGTTAAATATAAACGATATGGACAAAAATATGGGAGTATATATTAGCCAAAAAATTAAATACATGAAAAGATAAAAATAAAAATTGGAAAAAAAATTAAGAAAAAAGGTGTGGGGGTCCATGCATTAAACATTATGATACCGGAAAGGTATGATTGGTGATTATATATATACACACTTTTGGCGCATTGCTATTTCAGTATCTATTTTGTGTATGTAAAACGCATAGTAATGATGTTAGTTAGGATCTCAAATTACTGTTTGAAAATTGCGAATCTTAAAATTTATGACGACATACCATTACACCTAAGTACTACTTTTTTCCAGAAATTAAAATTTTAAATAATTTGAAAGAATCCCCTAAGTTATTCAAATTAATAAAAAAATAAAACGCATCGAGTTACGAAATCAGGGATAATATATAAACTCACAACCCACTCATATATATAAATAATCAGTAAAAATTAACATAAGCGAGAGCGAAATAGAACGCAAAAATATTACAAAAAAAAAAGATTAAAAAAAAGATGTTCTTTAATCCTTTTTCTTTTTTCCTCTCGTAATTAACTTCCCTAGAACACAACACGTGTTCGTTCTCCGATCAGGCGAATCACTCCCCTTCTGTATTGGCCGACGACACGTAACTGACAACCACCGACGTTTCATCCGCCGGAGGCGGTGGAAGGAACACCGCAGCCGTCGCCGGAAAATGCCCTTTACAAGCCGGACAAGTGACGTGCATCATCGCCGCGCTTATCTTCTTCGCGGCTTGTTCTTTCAGAAGCTGAGCCCTTTCCAGTTCAGCTTGAGCTTGTTGCCTTATTCTCTTGGCATTGGCGAACTCCGTCTCTGCCATCTCTCTCTGCCGCTTCGCCTCTCGCCACGCTTCCTCTGCGTAAGCTTTCTCCTTCATCGCCGTCTTCATCTCCTCGCTCGCCAGCTCCTTTATTCGTTCGACCATAGAACCGGAACTCTTGTTTCTGATGCTGTACATGTTGTTCTCGACGATGTTCCGAGGATGTGATAGCGGGGCTATGGAGAGGTTCAAGTTGGCGCCAAAGGGTTCTTTTTCGGATATTTTTAGGTTAGGGTTTTGATTGTTGGACATTAATGGCAGAAGCTGGAGTTCGAGGTTAACGTTGTTGTTGTTGTTCATCGTGTTCCCAGTTGATGAACGGATGAAAACAGGAGGAGTTGACGAGATCGGGACTGGTCGGCCGACCAGTGGCGGGGCTGACGCGGCTGCGTAGTTGGCGTCGCTGGACGGTGTGCTAGCGGTTGAGGCCGTTCTTGACGAACAGGCTGTGGCCACTGCCGCCACCAGCGGGTGCGGGGGCGCAGCTGTCTTGGTGCTCAATAAAACTCTCCACCCTGATAATTGCACAAAAACATTACCTTTTTTTTATTATAAAAGTAATTACTCTCGCTTTAAGTTTCATGCGAGGTCGCATTATGTATAACCTACTTACGCAATATTATATGGGTTCTGGATCATCAAAATTTTCTTGTCGCATCGTATTATAGAAAGGTTGTACAAGGTATATTATATATATCGATCGTATAATATATAGTATAATCCTTGGTGATACATAAGATCAAAGTTAGTAACAGGGGCCATAAGTTGGAGAAGGATGTGTATGGAATGTATCACATAATATCTATAACTTTGTATCAAATAGTATGATTAGATTTTGCCTATCTGTGCATGAACAGGCACACACATACATATATATATATATATATATATATATATATATATATAGAGAGAGAGAGAGAGATAACTCATTTATTGGAAAACAAGAACAGAATCAACGGAACTATTCCCTATTTCGCTTTTAGATACGACGTCGTTCTCAAGCTTCCAATCGAATATATCATTGATAAATGTAATCCGTTGCCATCCATCGTTATTTCAACTTCAATATTCAACCAAACATTAAATAAAATATGAGGGGTAATCTCTCTCACATCCATTAACTGTAACATTATATTTGATAATCCGTTATTTAAATTATGTTCCAACATGCTTCGTCCTAAACTGCGACAAAAAAAAAGGTATAAATATTAGGTTTCGATTATAACCTTTATATGTATATGTCGTATATTTATTTGCTGTAATAAATAAAACTAGTTTTCTATAACAGATTCTGAATTTTTTTTCCATTGTAACACGTCATTTATAAGTTGATAAAGTACTCAATTGTTCTCGGTCTTATGATAACACAATCAATGTTTTATTTACACTGATATATGAAAAAATAAATATTGGAACTATTAAATCGGATAATGATCGAATTTAAATAATAATAATAATAATTCTGGCTATAAAAAGGTAGGAAATATATGATTGGGACGGGCTTAAGTGGATGACGTGGAGGATGGTAGCCACTGATTTGTCTCCACGTAAGCAAAACTGTGCGGAGAACTAAAATTTAGTTGTGATTGGTTACCACGTAAGCAAAGTGGATAAAAGCTGACGTGTCCGACAAGAAGGGCAGATGTCGTCTTCCTGGATTCGATTTCTTTCACTTGTCAAAAGAACCCGCCTATATATACACACATATTAACAAATATATGCAACGCCAACACCACTAATCGAAATTAATTCTATCAGATACTATCAATTTATTTGGTCGCCTTTCTATTTTATTTATGGAGTTCTTGGTTAAGTGTGACAAAAAAATGTTGTATTTTGCAAAGTATGACAAAATAGTTATGACCTTTGCAAACTATATCTTTTTATAATTTTTTGACAAAACTATCGTATAATTTCAATATTGTCATTTAGCGTCCTAAAAAATATGCAATATAAAAAGCAGATTTTTTTGTAAACTGTGTAATTCGGGAAAGCTGTTTTTCATGCGGGAGAGACTGTTTTTATCCGGGAGAACTGTTTTCCATCCAGGAGAGTCTGTTTTTTATCCGGGAGAACTGTTTTTTCGTCCGGGAGAGTCTTTTTTTTGTCCGGGAGAACTGTTTTTCGTCCGTGAGAGTCTGTTTTTTGTCCAGGATAACTGTTTTTGTTCGGGAGAGTTTGTTTTTATCCGGAAGAATTTTTTTTTGCCCGGGAGAACTGTTTTTTGTCCGGGATGATTTTTTTTGTCCGGAAAAATCTGTTTTTCGTTCGGAAAAATTTGTTTTTTTTGTTCGAAAGAACTGTTTTTTCGAGGGAGTTGTTTTTCGTTCGGGAGTGTATATTTTTTGTCCAAATAAAAAATAATTCTCATGTATAAAAAAAATGTTTTTCATATAAAAAACATTTTTTCCCCGATGAAAACAATTCTCTAAAAAAAGTATTCTCCCAAACGAAAATAGACTTTTTCGGATAAAAAATATTTCTTTCGGATAAAAAAAAGTATTTCCCGAATGAAAAAATAATTTTTTCGGACGAGAAACAGTTCTTCTTGATAAAAAAAATTTGAGGCAAATAGAAGTTGAGTTAGAGATGTTTTGATGTAGGGTTGAGAAGAAACAAAGGGAGCAAGATATGATTTAATTAATATTTAAGTGTATGCTTGAACTGTTTTTAAAAGAATTGCTTTGGCCTCGGATTATATTATTAAATGGATAAAGTCTATTATAGGTTGCTAAAAAAAACTATTAAATAGGTAAATATTACCATTGGTGCAATACTTAAAACACACGCATATACACACTGTTTTAGTTATAGATCAAGAATATGTGTAGTGTTTAGCAAACAGGGTTGCACAGTCCACGAGCTCCAAATATAGCTCAGATGAAACTCTATCCACATGGCCATATATATATATATAAAGGATACCATGAACACATGCAGGTATATACGATGATATCTAAAAACACAAGACGTACACGTATAGGGACATGCTGCTGAAAGATATCAACAGTTTGAGTTAGAGTAGGTTTATCTTTTGACTCAAAGAGTTTGAATATATTTTGTATTATTTATCTGACCAGACACATAAATAGAGGAGAAAAAAAAAGACTTCAAGATTTCAAAAATCCAAGCATCACACGCACGTCTGGATATCCAACAGCAACAGCCACAAACAAATGCAATTTTTTTTAATTCACTAAAACTTATTCCAATTCAGCCGAAAAAAGGTTTCGCAATCTTTTATGAAACAGATACCAATCTTTTCAATAAAAATCAAGTCTTTTCAAAGGAAAACGTGGAGAAAATAAAGAGGGGGGGAAAAAACCTGGAAAAGACGCGGCCGCAATCGCAGGAGTGGCCTCTGGTGCCGCAAGTTTTGAGATGAGCCTTGTAATCGGACTGCACGGCGTAGCCTTTGGAACATCTGTCGCAGACCCACTGTTTGTGGTTGCTGTGTTTTCTTCTGAAGTGTTTTTTTATGCCCACGAGATCGCCGAGAGCGTGGCAAGGATCGTGGTGGAGACATGTCGGCTCAGGACAAACGTACACTCTTTTCTTCACTTCGTGGTTGTTGTCTCTCTTCAGAAGCTTCCACGGGACCTTGTGCCGTCTCCGGTGCATCTGCAGGTTCTGATCTCTCTGAAACCCTTGGTTGCAGATCTCGCAGACGTATCTGTCTGATTCGAGAAGAGTCTTTGGTGACAGCGATACCACTTCTGCATCTGGATCTGGATTTTTTTTTGGGTTTTGGATGAAACCCATTAAAGACGATCAAAAACCGATCAAAACCCATGTTTTATTTTTGATAAAAACCGATCAAAAAGACTCCCACGGATGGGGATGAAGAGCGAAAAGGACAAAGCTGAGAACTTTAAGGGTTTCCGGGGAAACCCATCAATACCTAAGGCCTAAAAAATGATTCAAGAAAAAGTAAATTGAGATTTAAATGGTGATGGGAATGATCGATGAGAGAGTGGAGTGGTTACTAATTTACCTGGTGTACCAGCAGGTCTTCTTTTCCTCTTCTGAGTGGTGGTGGTGACCCCATTCTCTGAAGAAGAAGGGAAAGGATCAGAAGAAGAAGAATCTGGAACAACGCAACATGTGGAAGTGCTTTGGATGTTGTTCTTGTTGGCTTCCAGCATGGCTCCTGTTCTCATCGATTGGCCTCCTCTTCCTTTTTTGACTTTGTGCTGTGTTTTCGGTTCTGGTGGTTGAAGTGATGATCCGACTGGTGAGAGAAAGAAAAACAAAGGACAGAGGAAATTTCAATCTGTCCTGAAGGATTCTCTCTCTCTCTTTATTTTTGGGAATAGTGGGAGTTTCAGCTTTACTAGCAGCAGAGCAAGAAAATATGGTGAGAGAGAGAGAGAGAGAGAGAGAGAGTAAAAAAGCCCTTTAAGCTTTCTGCAACAAGCTTTTAAGCTTTTTTTTTCTTAGGCTCTTCAAAAAAGATTGCCTGTTATATTTATGTGTATATATAATATACACACACACACATATATGATAAAAAGCTTTTCCTTGGGTCTAATGTCGTGTGTGTGATTTTTTTTTCTTCTAAGCATTAGACCCCTCTCACCTCCCCACACACACCTTGAGCAAGTAATGATCCTCGAGGCCAACCGCCTCTGCTTATAAGAGTTCATTTCCACTGTTCCGTCTCTACATACAACCTATACATACACACTTGGAGAGGGCGGTATATATTTAGACTTTTCTTTTTGTTTCTTTGTATTTAATTTTTTATTATGATTTGTTTCCATTGATGGAAGACTCATGTGGGAAATGAATTTGAGTCGGACCCATACCTTGTCTCATTTTCTTGATCCTTCACAAACGGTTCTATTTCCATGTACTTTCCAATCGGTCATTTGGAGGAATCCTACACATGGATTTAAGCCTCCCTTTTTTTTATGTTCGCTTCTTAATGGTATATATATAATATTTTCATATCGGGATTTATTTTTTTGGAACGTAAAAATATTGTTTTTTGTACTAGACCGAATTTTTTCATAAAATTATTAAAGTGTTTAATATAGAATATTGTTTTTTCGTTTTTTTCCTAAATTACAGTAATTTTTAAAATAAAATATTTTTCCATATTTAGTTTTATTATTTTATTTCATTCCTATATTTAATTTTTTTTATTGTTATATTATTTTATAATTATATTTCTCTATCGTTTCCGCTATTCGGAGCCATGTATAAATCTAAATGAAAAGTTAATTTCAAAGAGAAAAATCAATGCAACATCCATTTGTATATAGATGTGCGTCAACATAAACATACGATATGACGTTCTAACAAATTTATATACGGTAATGGGTGCGTGGGCATGCTTAATTACTCTAGTTTCTGATTAGGAAATATTATTAATTTGTGCAAGTTTATATTATAACTGCTCCAAAATTATATTATGATTGATACTATATGGAAACCGGTAACATGCATGTTTTGTGAATTCAGAAATGACATCATAAAAATAATATGACAGTACATCACTAATAAATATCGTGAATTATTATCTATCATTCCAATAATATATCGACAATTGAAGAAACATAAATGTAACTGTAACTATTAATATGATTTAATTTTCTTAGGTTGGTCCACACATCTACATGTTAAGATTCTTTTCAAAATTGCACTTGGAACCAAAAAAAAAAAATAGAAAAGAAAAGCCGTGGTTTTTGTGAATAATCCAATGATATAATTGCACTGTAAAGCATAGAATACCGAATTTCTGGTTTACACAATACTGCAAACAAATTATAATGGTTGTAGTTGTACTAAAAAAAATATAAATATGGAGGAAAATCCAAAAGGCAAAAAAAAAAGGATAAAAATAAATAAATATATAAAAATTCCTTCTTAAAGAAACAAACAGAGGCTAATTATGAATTAGCATATATACAGAAAGATTTGCATGAAAAAAACTCGGTTTCTCACGTGACCTTACGTCATACTCACGTGCCCCTTTAATCTCTCTCTCTGACTCTT